ATCGAAGTAGTGGTTATGCATCGGATAGCCCATGAATTTGATTTCCAACGATTTTTTGACGATCGAAATCTGATAGGAGTGTATTGCTGCATGGTTTGGCGCTTCTAAATGGAGAGGAAGGAGAAATCTTGTAAAATTATAATTTTATCCCGACTTTTGACAGTCAACAAACAGTCAAATTAATACAGAGGACTAAATTGGGTAAGAATTGTATAGTTGAGGACTAAATTGGGTAAAAATTGTATAGTTGAGGACTTAATTGAGTAAACGTTATATAGTTGAGGGCTTAATTGGGTAAGAATGGTAGTTGATGATCAAATTTGTAATTATGGCATAGTCGATGGACCATTTTGGGTATTAACTCTTTTTAATATACTAAGGGTACATTATTTTATATAATGTACTTTCAGTACAAAAATAATGTACATTCAGTACAAAAATAATATACTTTTAATATATTAAAAATGTACCTGATATTTATGGTACACACATTTGTATGGACCATGGTCCACCCAATAATTTGCCCTAGTGAATCAAGCTAACATGGTTGGCAAATACACTTGGGTGGTTGCTCGTACTAAATTCTTCAACACATGCTCCTACCAAACCCTTTGTTGAAAATTATCCAATAAGCTTGACCCATTGGCCGGGTTAGAGGAATATTCCCAACCATACACAGGTATACTCAAACTTTCAAAATTTGACAATAGAGCTTATTCTTCATTTGGTCGAGCCTTTAACTATATTGACATTTTCAGGGTGTGTTTAATTGGCACAAGACTACAAGAGAATCGGAATCAGAATGAGAATCAAATACTTGGCAATGTTAATGGGTTTTGGTGAAAGTATTTTGAATGTTTAATAGTAGCTAGGGTAGAATTGGAATGATGATTATCAATATTAATGTTTGGTAATGGGTTTTAAAATACAAAAATAAAAAATTAAGGCAATTGATTCTAATATAATGACATCAAAAACACTAATATGAATAAAAACAAATCAAAAAATAAAAATCTAAACGCACTAATCCAAACTTAAAAATCAAATTATCAATAGGATGAAATGATACTCGTTTTTAATTAGGGAATAAATTAAAGTTTTTCTTTCGAAGAGGTAATTAAATCTCATAGTTGTGTTTTAAAAAAATTGTCAATCAAACATTAATTATGATTTTGATCCACATTTCTATTATGTAAACTCATGAACCAAACACGTACCCTCACTTTTACTTTTAATATTCAAATTGTTTCACTTTAATCTATAATTTTTGAAAATGTTCCATTTATAGTTCTAAGTATATATATCCAGAATTTAGTCACTTTGTTAAATTTAAAAAAAAAAAAAAAAAAAAAAAAAAAAAAGACTTACCTTATTGCATTTTAAGATATTTTGATAGTTTAGACTAAAAAAGTAGAACATTCTTAAAAAGTCAAAAAAAAAAAAAAATCAAAGTTGAGAACTAAATGTGTAAATGCCACTATAGTCAAGGTACCAAAAGGATAATAAACTCTTTGAAATTTTAATATCAAATATTTAAATATTGCAACACTGATATCTAATTATAATATTTGATTTGCATATAAATTATTTTAAAAATTACACCTCAACATTAATTTTTAAACATATTACATCAAAATGTCCATTTCATACAACAAAGAAATCAAAATAAATACACAAAAAGATTCTACATGTACAAAATTAGGTTCAAGCATTACAACCATAAACTATAACCAACTCAAGAGGATCTAAATTTTTTAGAGATTGGATAGCATAATTTGACATAATTGTCACATAAAATAAAGATTGAATATTAAATTATTAACATTACAATTTTAAATATAATTACTCGTATTATATATTTTTTTTGTTAGCTATATGCCTTAATTTTTTATTTTTTTTATTTTTTTTTTGGTGTAGCTCAGAGTTTTCATCGTCAAACACAGTGGTCAATCTCCTTTTGTCGAATTGTAGGCACTTCTATTAGGTGAGACAGCTGGCCTGGTGATTTAAGATGGCCTCATACACAAAGTCAATGATCGAATTATTGATCTTTGATTTAAAATGGACGAGTTTCTTCTACTTGACCACACTCCAAGTTAATATGCCTTAAAAATATAATGAAATAAGGTTACAGAATTTGTTTAACAATATTTCTAAAAGAATTGACAGATAATTGTAGTCCACCTACTAGAAGATACTCTCACAACATTGGGCAAGAGAAAAGTTCTAATTTTGGATCATTAGCAGACATATAACTTCGGATGGTGACATTTTGGCCTAAAAGTATCATATAATATAAAAAGAAAATATGTCAGTTATATTAGCTGTCATTTTTATTTTGACCCCACAACCGGACTATGGCCATTATAACATCATATGATTGGTTAATAAAAAAGATGTTTTTATTATTATGCAACAAAAAAATAAAGGTTTTTTTTTTCTTTTTATTTTTTTTGGGAATCCTCAAAAGCTCCAATTAATTGGAAAATTTGTCGCTTAAAACTATAGACACGTACAAGATTTCACAATCAGGTGGACAGTGAAAATGTGAAATACATAAATCATGAAAATTTCCACGTGAAACAAAATATAGGTATATGCCCTTTCAACCTTAGCGATGTCAATTCCCATTTAGTAAGGTCATTGTAATTATCGGGGCAAATTACACTCCACACAGTTGTGCAATCGTTATATCGTTAAACCGAGTCTTTTATGAAAGGTTAGAAATAATGTTTTTAAGATTATATTAATTTTTTTAAAAATTCAATATGCTCATAAAAACGTTGTTTAAAATAACATTTCAAATTTAAGCTAATTGTTGTCAATCAATTAGGGGAAACAACCATTTGCCAAATAGCCATTTTAACTTATTGACCTGGTCAATTAGCCAAATTAAAGTTATAATCAAACAAGATTAAATAATTAATGACAATTCATAATAGTAATATCAATCATTCTTTCCAACATAAATCATAATTTTTGTTAATGTGCATAAATTTTGAACGCAAATACTTGTATTTTTGTAATTGTAAAAAAAAAAAAAATCATGTGAAGTTGGAGTAAACAATAATAGTAGAACTCTTATTATTCATTATCAACTGGTTATAGAGGTGAAAGTCGGATAGAATGACCAGTGGTAGTGTAGGAGCAACCTCTCAAAGTGAAGGGGGCTCCTTATGCGCAGTAAGCAAAGGTCTAGCTTCTGTGGTTCATGTTCAGTTGAGTTACCATGATTTACTTTCTCCCATATGTTCTGTCAGACCGAATTGTGGGAGACCCGTAGGGTTGGGGGTCAACCTTTTGAAAAGAAGTCTTATTATTCATTATCTAGACATAAATTACCTTTCTAGATCTTTGACCACTACAGCCTACAGAACATTATACGCATATGCGGGGACAAAGGTAGTCTTTTCTCCTTATCCAATTTCCCAACTACTACGGAAAATAAGTTTAAAGTTAAAGAGGCAAATTTTACTTTTTACTAACAAATTTGATTCTTAGAAATTAATAGGTTTAATTTCACGTTTACTTATTAATTAATATTCTCTCTATTCCATTTTATCTGTCTTATTTATTATACCAAACCAATTCTTTCTTATTTGGTTATTTCTATTTCTATTAGCATTTTCTTATAATTTCTAAAATTGATTTTTTTTTTTTGTTTAATAGTATTTTTAATGTAGTTTATAAATTTTACATACTAATTCTAAACTTAATATTATGAAAAATTAAATTGTAAATAACTTCAATTAAGCTTCATTTATCGAACCTGACATATAAAATGGAACGAAATAGGTATTTTTTTTAAAGAGGAGTCCGAACTCAAATATTATTTTAATAAATTGTAACTATTTGGCATTTTTAATCAATAAAATTTAATTTAAAATATTTAAAGTATTCTCATTTGTGAAAGACTATGGGATGTTTGAGATTAAAGTATTCTCAAAAGTTTGATAAAATATTTGAGATATGGGATGTTTCAGATTAAAGCTTAATCGATTCAAAAAAGTTTAAGAAAACAAATTTTATTACATTTAAGAGAAATGTTCCTTTATTCATCTCAAAATTATCTCCTAACATAATAATAACATTTTTGTATTTATTAACCATTCAGGAATTACAAATTTTAGAAAATATATAGAGTACTTATTAACCATATAATTTTTTAAAAAAAATTAAAAATTCAATGAAGTTGTACCAAATAAATATAAAAGTCAACCAACTACTATGCAGGTGATACTTATGTTACCATTTCAAATGAAACTTTTAATATAAACCATGTTTGATAACATAATTAGCTTATCAGTCAATTTTGGCTTATTTGACCATTATTAACTATTTAACTTTATTAAACATTCAATATAAATTTTTTGATTAACTTTTTTGTAACAACTTATTGCTCCAAAATACTAAAATTCAAAAAACTGCTCAATCAGTTATCAGGTAACAACTAATTTACTAAACATCTTTCTACAATTCTATCGATTACTCAAACGCACTAACACAATCAACTAACAGTTAACTGAAGTATTTATCAAACACTGCTAGTTTCTAAATATATAAATTTCATATACTAATACTAAACTTAATGTTAGTTTGGATATAAAAAAATAAATTAAAAATAATGTTAATCAAATCTCGTTAATTAAATTAAATCAGACACAATGTAAAAGGGAGTATTAATTCAAATTCAAATTTAAAATCATGAACAGTTAAGAAGCGCCAAGATTCATTTTAATCCGTTAATTCATACCACATTCAAAGTTGAAACTATATAATATTATAATTAAAGTTATACAATGTGGCATCTATATTAGGTAATAATAGCAATAAATTCCAAAACGTCACCGCCGTAGGCCGAAATGACCAGAACGCCCTTCGACAAGCAGTAGAGTGGCTTTAGCTTAGCTAGAATCTCAAAAAGTGAGCAACTTTCCAGTTTTTATACAAAGTCCCAAAACTAAGCAGAATTTAAAAACGACCCCTATATTGTTAATAATTTAGCTTCCGGCCCCTTTGCGGATCGCTTCCTTGTACCTAAGTGTGGAATCCACCCTCTGCAGCTTCAGCTGCTGCCGGAACTTGTTGATGAAATCGTCGGCTTTTGCGTCCACTTCCTCGTCCACCTCCGCCGCCACTCTCTCCTTCATCGTCGCCGGCCGCCGCGCCTCCACGTCCTCCTTCTTCTCAGGCTGCGACTTCATGCTCGCCGACTTCCTCATCTTCGCCGCCAGCCTCTCGGAAATCTCGACGGCAGACGGCGTCGTTTTTGTCTCCGGCGGCTCATTGTAGTCTCCATCCAACCTCTCCGGTTTCGCTTCTTCTTCTGCCTCCTCTTCATGGGCTTCGATTTCTTCAGTTTTCACATCGTGGGTCTCATTCCGTTCAACAGTTTCTTGATGGGAAACGTAATGTGTCTCATTTTCTTGCCGGAAAATGTAGTGGGTCGTCTGGGTTTCAAGGCTGGGGCTTTCTTGGGGGAGCTGGTAAAAGGCGTAAGGCATTTGGGGTTCAAGGATTTGGGGGTGGTGGGTGGGCTCAAGATTGAAAAGGGTATCGGAATCCGGGTTAAATTTAAAAATGGGTTCCTGAGATCTGAAACTAGAGAGATTGATGGATCTGAGACGCTGAAGAACAGAGGGAGATCCGGCGACCTTGGGAGTCTGTTGGGTGGTCTGTTTCTTTTGGTTGGCTAGCGTGGAGGTCAAGGCTATGGTGGCAATCACAACATTGAGAAGAACGAAGAAGACAGTGGGAGTGAACCAGTTGTTCATGGCTGCCAAGAATGAAGAGGGAACAATGGAGACTGTATCTTCGAACATTTTCTGAGGTTTTCTAGAGAGAGATAGGGGGATGTTTAAGGTTTTAGAGAGAGAGAGAAAGATGGTAAGGAGTGGAGAGTGTGGGGTGGGAGACATGGAGATAGGAGAGCAGAGAGTGGCAGTGGGTGAGTGGGGATGGGACCATAGTGAGCTGGTTTTGATTTTATCTGCTTGGAGTTGGGGATATGTTGATGGCTTTGCTGACCTCGATGTTTGCTCAAACTATATTCAAAGTTTCAATATTATATAATCAATTAAATACAGGTTTGGTTGGATGGAAGAAATTAGAGAAAAATAATTGTAATTTTATAAAAAGGAATAAGGTAAGAATTCAAATTTTATTAGTTTAGTAGATAAGAATTAGGGATGTTAATGAATCGATCCAATATGAACTAACAGAGGTTGTTCGTGTTTGTTTGTTAAGATTTTTGGAGTGTGAGTGTGAGTGGAGTGTTCGATTATTAAGTTTATGAAAATCCTGTTAGTGTTCGTTTCTTAAGCGTTCGGACTTGGGACAATTAATTTAATTGGGCCGTGCTGATTACATGGATAGTAAATAAACTTATTGGACTATCCATTAGTCTTCAAATAATGAGTAGCATATTATTTCTTTTATAACAAGTAGTCTAGTTATTTGTTTTAGTTAGACTTTAGGACTGAGTTTGAATTCAAACTATCCATGTCCTAGTCTTTAAGCAAGAGGCATGCTAGGGAGTTATATATAACACTCCTAATCTCTTTGTAAAGGAGCAAGTCAGATTTTGAGAAATAGCGAACAAGAGCATTATTTGTGCCTTGCCTTCTTTCTTGAGTTTTTCAAGACTTCCCGACTTATCAAGGACTGTTTTCTTCTTTGTGGCGTCTCCATCTTCGTATTACCTTCAAACCAAGTGTGGGTGAATCCCAATCTTAGAGAACACCAAAACTCTTCCCACAACACAACCCAAATCCGTATAACAGAACCACAATACAAACCAATTGAGACAATTCCAGCTCCGTTCTACTAGAGAAGTGGAAAAACCCGAGGACCGAACGAGAACGCAAGGTTTCCAAACTTCGTCTCTAATTCGAGGATCACATCATCTTTGGTATCAAAGTCAGGTTGGCTTATTCGCGTCTTAGAGGTTACAAATCACAACCTAATTTATATATTTTCTTACCATCTATCCTCTATTCAATTGCTGCTAGTTTTCTTCCTATTGTGTTATCTTTTTATTTGCCAAAACTAGTCCCAAAAGCAAAGTGCATAATTTTTTTGTGATCCTTAATGAGTCTACTGTCTCTATATTAAATTTCATCAATTAATTCATTGCCATATAGCCCTAGTTGATTGATTAATACTCACTGCCAAAAATTTTTCAGATTTACGCAGTCAGATTGAAAAATTCCAAAAAAAAAGACCTATGTATCGTATTTTGTCCTGAATTTTTTGTGAAAGTAGTATACTCATAGTAATTGAAAACCTGAAAATTTCAGTTCAAAAAAATTGGTCAATTGTTCCCAGAAATTCCTTGAAGTTGCGCCCAGATTTTGTAACTTTCTGCCAAACTATTTCTTTTTTGTTGTGTTTCATTTGTGCTAAATCTGTTTTAGCCTTTATTGTTGCATTAAAAAAAAACAAAAAAACAAAAAAACAAAAGAGAAGAATCAAAAGAAGAAAAAAAAAAAATATATATACTATTCTGTATGCTGAGAAGCTTGTTCACTTATTTGTTACGGAGTATTAGTTTGAGTATTGTACCAATTTTCTTTCAAGCCAAACACCCAATAACCTTTATCCTATCACTCACGCCTTGTGGAAGAAATATTCCTTAGATTTTTGGAAAGTTCGTCAAGAACTCGTAGAAAAGGGTCTTGTTCTTTGCTATTTGTGAGTTTTGTGAGAACATTAGAGTGTTTTATTTTAATACACAAGTGGTAAAAAAAAGAGTGACTCACCCCAAAACTGAGAGGGTTGAGGGAGTGAAGTAAGAGCCTTATTTACATTTTATATATATATATATATATATATATATATATATATATATATATATATATATATATATATATATATATATATATATATATATATATATATATATATATATATATATATAGAGAGAGAGAGAGTTAGGATCATATGAGAACATGTGCTTAGGTGAGAATGTGAGAACACATCATGTGCATCCATCTAATATTTTTTAATGGTCTAGATTATATTAAGTGTCTGCGAACGCGCATTAAATGTGTGCAAACACACTAAATCGCGTTTGCACACATTTAATGCGCATTCGCACACAAGACACAAGAATTCAATCAATCATCAAGAACATGACATTATTATCATAAAAGAATTCAATCAAGACACAAGAATTTGGAAGGAGGCCAAGGAAGGAAATTATAGCGAAGAAAATAGGTTTTGTTGAGACATGGGTTACCTCTTAGCCTTAATTAATTTCCTTGGCTATGAAGGGTTTTTCTTTAAGATTTCTTCTTTCTTGATTTCTCCTAAGGGGATTCTTGGAACTTCTTGTGTGGTGAAAGATTATTTGTGATGTGTGATCTAGGTGCCTCCTATGACCCTATTTATATATATATTTTCCCCCGGAGTCCTAATTGGGGTCTAAATACTATGGGCTTGCTAATTATATTCCTTATAGGACTAAGGGGGTTGGTTATAGGGATGTGGGCCCATGGACTATGGTGGACCTTTCTTAGTTGATTAATTGGTTTTTAATTCTCTTTTTAGGGTAAGTGATTAAATATTTGGTTAGGGTTAGGGGTCGTAACACGGGGTGTTACACACTCCCCCCCTTACAAGAGGCTTCGTCCTCGAAGCCGGTGCGTGGGTCCACTCTTTCACCCCTAGACGTCACGTATTTTGGCCTCCTGGTTAGGAGATGCGGCTTCACGTGTTGTCCTCGTTGGGTAGACTGGACTTTTGGTGCGGTGTGGTTTTGGAGGGTTTCCTGCTCCTGAGCTGGATGCCCCGTGAGTGCCCAACATGGCCTCGATAGTTGCCACCCTTCGGTCCAAAGCGCGTGTTGCGCGAATTAGGGACGAGAACCCTTCGTCCATGATTTGGTTTTGCCGGGTGAGCTATGCGAGGATGCGCTCGTTGACGGATTCTTCATTTTGGTCTCTTGGGTTTTCTTCGGTTTGTGCGGGTGCCGGTGGGTTAGGTTCGCTATCCTCATTTCCCTCTAGCCCCCCACAATCTTGCATTACCCGTTTAAGCTTTTTGTTGGAGATGTCCAATCGATCAACCAATTCTCTTTGGTCCTCCTCGAGTTTAAGGCAAATTTCCTCGAGGGTGATGTACTGTCCCCCTTCGGTGTAGTAGATATCATTATGACAGAGGTTCTGGGCATTGAAAACCATGCTGTTTGCGGGCTTGATCTCTGTGTGGCTTAGGTCCACTTCTTTCTTCTCCATGATCCAACTCAGGATCATCCCGTAGGGTAGACTAAGCCGGTTACTAGTCTTGCAAAACTCCATGTGTTTCAGGAGGTAAGCAAACGTGCACTCCAAACTTCCCACATCCTTGCTTTTGTTATTTGTAAGCAACAGGCTATCAGTTACAATCATGACCAATATCTTTTGCTCCGCGGTTAGCCATTTCCTGTTCGGCCGTGTGGCCGAGGTGAAACCTTCTTCTCTCCCGAGTAGGTACCCGAGGTAGTCCTTGTATCCCATGTTTTGGGTACCAATCCATCCCTTCCGGTCGTAGTCTGACACACCCGTGGTGGTCAGTCTTAAGAGTTTGGCCAAGCGGCCTTCAGAGAGTATGATTTCCTTGCCTCGGACTTTGGCGGTAATTTCCAGTTTATCGCCCCGCTTAACGGCTACTAAATGATGATAGAACTCTTTCACCAATTCGGGGTATGTATCCCCTTTAATGGTGAGATACATATCCAAGAGTCCTTGGAAATTAAGCATGTCGACCAACTCCGGAGAAAACTGGTCGTGTTCGAGGGCTTTACCTCCGATCACGGTGTAGCCGGCGTTGTTCCATTCCGGGATGCGGACTCCGAGGGGCTTTTTCGGCATTTTGATTTTCTCTCCTAGGTGGCGTTTTCCGGTGGGGCTCCGGCGAAATTCCGGCGAGGTTCCGGCGGCGAGGGGCGGTGGCGTGGCTCACTGTTTCGGGGTCGGCGGCGTGGGTGCGAAGCCGGGCGATGCAGGTGGCTGATGCTGGCAGTGGGCGGTGGTCGGGTGAGTGGCGGGTTCGCCGTGGCAGTGGGCTTGACGCGGGTGGACTCCGGCTCTGTGGCGGCGGCGTGTGGGCGTTGGCCGGCTGTGGTGGTGTTTCGTCGGCGGGGCGTAGGGCGGCGGGTGTGATGGTAGAGGGTGGTGCGACGGCAGGTGTGTGAAGGTGGGGGAGATAGCGGGTTGATGGGGTGAGGGGAGAGCGAGAGAGAGAGAGAGGGTGGGGAAGAAGAAGAAGAAGGGTTTTTGATTTGGGGGTTTTGGGGTTTTTAGGGATTTGTGGGGGTTTAAGAAGGGAGTGTTCCCTTGAGTTTAAGAAACACTTATAGCCTAGTGGTTAAGGCTTTGATTTGTAAGTAGGAGTTCCAAGGTTCTATTCTCATTAGCAATACTAACTTTCCTTGTTGTGTGTTCCTTGTTTTCTAGTGGTGGGGGATTTGATTAGTCTGGTCCTCCTTGTGGTTTGTTGTTGTTTAGTTTCCTTTACTTATGCTAAAATATTTTGAAGTGGCTAAGCTAAATAAGCAGTTTTACTATAAGGGTGGTTACAAGTGGTTTCTTAGTCTATCCTAAACAGAATTCATCTTCTTGGTTTTCTTCTGGTGGATTCGCGTGATCCTCGTCTTCCGGGGTCATGTTTTCTTCGTTGAGGCTGCCCTCGTTCCCAAGTTCGGCTTGTGTGCGGCTCATGATGAATACTTTCCCGGGGGCACCGTGATTCCCTTGGTTGCTTGCGCCTCCGTGTTGTCCCATGTTCATGGGGCGTGAGCTTGAGGGTTGTAAGCAGTGGAAAGCCTTGTGTCCTTCTTTTC